AGCCTTCCTTAAATTATATGAGGATGAAGGGATGAGCTAGGTCAAATCGTATTGATGAAAAGATTAGTTTTGATGCCTCTGATGGCTTTAATTCTCTCTCGTTAACAAGTAAGGCCAATATAATCTCGCCACAATAATATTTAATACCATTTAATTCAGATGAGACTGTGGGTAAAGGAGAATGAGCCAAAGAAAGGCAATACCAGCTTGCGTGCGTATGTGTCCAACACATCAAAGGACAGCAAATATGGCTTTAACTGAAGACTAAAAATGATTATAATCCACAATAGAAAACAAGTTCTAATAATTTAAAGCAATCTGAAAAGATATAAAATGATGAAGATACAATCATGGCAGTTACCTTCATTTTGTATTGACATTGAGCAAGATTTATAAAGAAAGGTAGCCGCTGGCGCTCCAAATCAAGCCATTCAGCATCACCTGGTTTCTCACGCAGCTCAAGTTGCTCCAACAGCCCAAGCGCTTGGCTGTACTTGGTGGCAGATTCTGCCCACTGGCCAGCTAAATAAAGTGAGTTACCCTCCTGGCGGAGCTGGGGTATCAAGGTGGCCTTCTCTGTTGGTGTCATGATCCAAGTGTCTTTGCGGGCGCTACCCGGCAGCTCGACTCTGGAAAATAGGAGAATAAGCGTATACAAATAAAACGGGAATTTAAATTAGTATTAAGAGAAAAGCAGATAGAGAAAAAAATAGATAAAGAGTTACAAAAGGAGAAAATAAAAATGTGGAAGCATAGAGTAGATATGCAAGATAGCAGAGGGAAGATGAGGAAAGCAATAAAGAAATGTGTGTACAAGGGTATTTAACTAGTATAATAGTAAAACATGAAAGTAGAGGAATATAAATAGCAAATTGAAAAAAGTATAATAGGAGGAGAAAAAGGATATTGTACCAAAATAATGGATAAAGAGGATAACAATAGAAAGTAACAAAGGCAAAAGATATCTGGACTACAAAAACCAGAGTCAGTGAGCGATACGGTAGGGCG